TGGAAATTGCTAAACTCACGAAAGCTATTGCATGAAAACAAGTCCGGTGACCCCTTCTTTTTATTGTTCCAGTATGATAATAACGTCGAAAGGAATCGTCAGAAAAAAAAATAGAAAATTCTACGGAAGGAAATTTGCGATGTGTGAAAATTTCCCTTTTTATAGATTTTCTGAAATTCCGCTCCGTAGAATTTTTTAAAAATCTTTGTGCATTTTCCTTTTCAAGTGCCAAAAGCAATCACTGAAAAAAATCAGGGGGTTACCGGGTTAGTTTTCTAATTGTTTAAGTCACAAGCTAAAAAATGCGTCTGAATAAGCCTATGAAAGCGTTGCCATGGAAACTGCAAGTGACGAAATGACACTTATTTTTGGATAACCAATGATTACGTAATTCAACCCCGTAAAAGTGTTCAACTGGCCTTCGTCAGTCTTTCTGTTGTATTCTTTCAAAGTTACAAACCATCAAAAAGATGAAAACCGGTACGAGCCAACTTAAGGGGCGGTCCGACTTAACCACAGGCGCTGTTGGTAAGGACCAATTCGGCCAGGTCAGCGCTAATCTCTTAGGCTGGTCTACAAGTGCAATGCAAATTTAAACGCAAAAGCTCAAATGCAAATACATTTCAAGTGCGTCCGCCTCAAACGCAACGAAAGTAAGATACGCAAGCGTCGTGAAAAAATTTTTTTTCTAAAGATGGCTGACTATGAGCAAGCGCAAGGTTTGCTGCAATATGTTTTATCGTTCTTCTTCGTTTTCAGAGTACTATGGAGAAAAATTCCACTTATAGTGCATAGTGAATGGTTCGAGAGCCATTTTACCACTGCATCGATGTATGTTTTGTAAATTTTTACATTCTTTCGTTAAACATACCGTCTTTAAAGCCCACCTCTGGTCACATCTCTCTAAGTAAGACCTCCTTTGATTTGTCTTTAGATTTGGGGAAACGTTTGTCACAGAGTTCAGCAGCTGGGCTCGGTTGTGCTAAAGAGGGTTAACCCGGGTTAACTAAGCCAAACTTTAGGGTAAATCTTTAGTCGCGTTGTTCGATAGAACGTTATGTTAGTTTCAAAACGCGTTAGTTCGTATACTTTTCTCTTATGATCTGTTCCGGTTTATACTGAATTCTTCCTTAGTTAATGATTATTACTCAATAAGTTCGCTATTTCAATCAGTTTCATTTATGCTCATGTGTAAGAGATTGTATTCCATATTTCACCGCTATTATAGTTGGTGCTGCCACTATTGAAATTTTTATCTGATATCAACCAATCATTAGCTATCAACGGATTATTACGAATTATCTGCTATTAGTTATGAGCTAAACTAAAGTAAATCTTTCTTTATTTTACATTTTAGACATTTCCCTTTCTTAATCCAACAGTATTAGTTTATTTCTCGCATTAAGTTCTCTTTGTAATCGGGCCCTTGTTAGTTGGTTTAGTGTTTACTTTCCCCAGGGTATTTTCTTAGTTTAGTTTCTGTGGTATTTTCTTTTAGTCCACACAAATTGCTTTAATGCTGTTTAATTGTCTTTGTCGGGGTACTCGTATCTCTCTAGATGCCTTAACACTATGTCGTATGGGATAGGGCGATTTGTTTTTGGAAAGGATAATCCACAAAAGGCGATACAAATTTATCACTTTCCGAATCATATCTCTCGTCAAATCCAGTCGGAAAAACGACTAAAACGTCTTCTTCTAATCAAGTGAT